GCAGCACCAGATCCCAAGGGCAGGAAAAGCGCGGGATCAGGCACAGATCTTGATGCGGGTGCCCTTGGCCAGGATGCGGAAGAAGGGGAAGATGCGCTCGCGGAAGGAGGCGTTGAAGGTGTGGATGTGGCTCATGTTCTCGGCATTGTAGAAGCAGAGCTGCCCCCTCTCATAGTCCAGGTAGACCAGGAAGCGCCGGGGCCGCTCTCCCGGCGTCAGGAACGTTTGCTCCGTGGCCGTCAGCGCCTGGAAGCGCTTCCCATTGGTACCCACGCACCAGATCTCCCTCTTGTGCTGCGCTCCCACCGGCTTCTCCTTGCGCCGCGTCGTCTCCCGGGCGGCTCCCACTGCCCAGCCCCGCCTGCCTCCCACTTCCACCTCCCAGCAGTGGCGCCCGGCGCTGAAGCCCTGCGCTCCCAGCACGCAGAATTCCCAGTCGAAGCGCTTGGGGTTGTCGGGAAGCTCCTGGCGCCGCTCGCCCAAGCGCACGCTGCGGCGGTCCAGGGACAGGCTGAGCCGCGGGTGCGCCGTGTCCGGGTCCAGCGTCACCTCCGCTGCGGGACACGGGGGAGGAAGGGGGTCAAGGGGAGCCCTCAGCCCATCCGGGATCCCAATCCCAGATCCTGGGGATGGGACGGGGTTACATCGCTTCAATCCTCCCCAGTTCCTGCCTTTTAACCCCACATTTCCTCCTTTTAACCCTCACATCTCAACTCCAGGATTGGATCCAGCAGATGGGAAGAGATGAAGGGAGAGGGCAGGAAAAGGAGGTGCTCCGTTTCCAGAGGAACCCCAACCCCATGGGGAAGGAATCCCACCATCCCTGTGGATCCAGGGGGTTTCCCAACCCGCTCACCCTGAGGGACTTTGTAGAAGACCTTCTCCATCTTCCTCATCACCACGTCCTGCAGGAAGTAGTTCCGGTATTTCTTCCCCACGTCCACAGGCACCATCTCGGGCTCCTGGAATTTCATGTTCTCACATCTTGGGAACGGGAAGGAAAAGCGGGATTGAGCACTGGGAACAGGGAAGGGAACACACACCAGGAGAGGGCAGAGATCTGGGCTACAACAGTGGCTGCTTGTCCAGCGGAGGGGATAAATGATCCCTATGGACTCTATGATCCCTTTCCCAGCTTTTCCCCTCTCCTCTATGTCCCACATCATCCCTAAATCCCATTTTCCTTCTTTTAGGAGCTCCCATCCCCACCTTCATTCCAACATCCGTATGACATCCAGGTTCCAAAGGCCATTCGCCCCACCCCAGAAAAGCCATTTAGAGCAATGGGAAGTGACTGACCTGATGAAAGTGCCTTTGATGTCCTGGGAAAGGAGGAATCCAGGTGGGAAATGAAGAGAAAGACAAAGATCATCAGGAAGGAGTGCGCCCAGAGGGGAGGAATCCCATCCATCATGGAATGGTTTGAGTTGGAAAGGAGCTTAAGATCATCCAGTTCCAACCCCTGCCATGGACAGGGATACCTCACACTAGACCACGTCACCCAAGGCTCCATCCAACCTGCCAGCGATGGAGCATTCCCAACCTCCTTGGGCATTCCAGTGTCCCACCGCCCTCACAGGGAAGAGCTTCCTCACTCCAACCTCAACCTCCCTGTTCCAGCTCCACCACCCCTTGTCCTACCCCTGCTGCAGGTCCCTCTCCCCACCCTTGTGGGCCCCCTGAAGGTCTCCACCAGCCCCCGTGTCCCCATCCCAGCTCCCTGGCACGAGTCCCCCCAGGATCCAGCTCCCTTGACCCCAAGGCAAACGGACCTGGAGCAGCTGCAGCCCCTCCTGCCGGCTCTTGTCCTCGGCCTCGGCCAGGAGGCGGCGCAGCGCCGCGCTCTGCTCCTGCAGCAGCCGCACGTTGCTGCTCTGCCGGCCCATGAGGCTCTCGTAGCGCTCCTCCAGCTGGTGCAGCAGCAGCACCTGCTCCCCGACCAGGAACTGGTGCAGCAGCTCGAAGTCCGACTCCAGCTCCTTGATCTCCAGCTTCATCTTGTCCTGAAGGGCCGGGAACGGGAGGCTCAGAGCCCAGCGGGTCAAACCCCAGCCCGTAGGGAAGCGGCTCCCACAACCCACGAGATCCCCAAGGCTGCAGCAAAGGGACTGCAACGCCTCCAAGAGCTCAGATCCATGGGGAAGAGGGGAAAAGCTTTCCGCTAATCCCACCCCTTCCACATCCTCCTGACCCCAAAGGTGCATTATTCCTCGGCTGAGGAATGGGAGCTGGACACGGAGCTTACCCTCAGCTCTGTGATCTTCTCCTCCTCGTTGGACTTCTGCTTCAGCACCAACTCCAGCTTCTTCTTCAGCGGCTCCAGGTGGCTCTGGAGCTTGTTCTGAGGGAAACCCCACACCTCAGGCTCAGGAATTCCCTGCCTTTGGTCACCCCATCCCCATCCTTCCCCTCTCCAGGGGCTGCAATTCCAAAGGGATCGGCCTGAGGGCTCCTCATGGGCAACCTCACCCCATCCCTGAGGGTGAAGCGACACCTTCGGGAGGGGCGGTGAGCGTTAAGGAAGGGTTGTGCCGAGGAGCTGCCTTCACCCCAAACCAGCCCCACTCCATCGCATCCATGCGGGACCGGCTGAGCTCACGTATTCCCTATTGGAACGGCTCCATCCAGCTTCACCTTCCCCATCCCAACCCTACCCAACCTGTTCCCAGTGACCCAACCAGCCAGGCCAGACCCACCCCATTCCCCCCCCAACCCCAGATCCCAATCCACACCTTATAATCCTGCACCACCTCCTCGAGCGGCACCACGCTGTGGTGCTTGTGGCTGCGGGACTCCCTGCACACCACGCAGATGGCTTCCTCGTCCACCTCGCAGAAGAGCTTCAGGGGCTCCTGGTGCCGCTCGCAGCGGTCGGGGGGGCCCCCCGGGGCAGCGGCGGGGCTGGGGGGCAGCAGGCGCTGCGGGTGCGGGTGCAGCTGCCGGATGATCTGCACCATGTTGGCCAGCTGCAGGTTGGGCCTGAAGCTGCGCTGGAAGAAGGTTTTCCTGCACTGGGGGCACGTGAAGGTCTGCAGGCGCTGGGGCTGCGCGGCCCCAAGGGGCGTCGGTGCCGGCTCTTCCTCCTCCTCCTCCTCCTCTTCCTCCTCCTCCTCCACGTCCTCCTCCATCACATCCTCGTCGTACTCTTCCTCCCCGAAGTACAGCTCCCCCCGGGCCCCCCCGCCCCACATCCCCTCCTCCTCCTCCGCGGGGTCCCCCCATAGCTCAGGGTCCTCCTCCTCCTCCTCGCTCCACATCTCCTCTTCCTCCTCCTCCTCCTCCTCGGCGCCATCCTCCTCCTCCTCTTCCTCCTGCTCCACATCGAGCTCTTCCTCCTCCAGCTCCTCCTCCTCCTCCTCCTGCGGGGCCGGGGCCTCCGCGTCCCCCCCGGCCCAGAGCTGCGCGATGCAGCGGCGGCAGAAGTTGTGCCCGCACCCGATGGACACGGGCTCCACGAAGTAGTCCAGGCAGATGGCGCAGATCGCCTCCTCCTGCAGCGTCTCCACCGGGTCCAGCCGCGACCCGGAGCCCGCCGCCGGGGCCGCCATAGCGAGACCGCGGCCTCCTCCTCCTCCTCACGGGCCGAGTCCTCCCGCTCGCCGCTCCCGGAAGCGCCGCTCTGGCCGCCGCCGGGGCCGCTCTGTCCCTCCTCCCGCCGCCGCCGCTGCTCCTCTCTATGGTACAACCGACAGAATCCGCCGCGGAGCTTCCGTCTTCCGCCCTTTATGGTCACGTGACAGGAAGTGTTGCTATGGCAAGGGACTCTCGCTTCCGCGTTGAGACCCCCCCACCTTACCGTAGCGGGGGGGGGGGGGTCGGCGGCTGGTTTGTCTACCCGCACAACTCTGTGCTCTTGGAGGACTGCTCCCGGAGGGTGGGCGTGGCTTCCGCCCCAGCAGCCCTCATGGCTCAGTGGGTAGAGCGCCAGACTTGTAAGGAGATACCCGCGGGTTCGAGTCCCGCCTTCGGAGACCTTAAACCTTTATAATTCACCCCAAATCGGTTTTTGCTGCCCCCGCTCTCGCCGGGCTCTGCCACTCCCCGAATCCCCCCGGCAGGACTTCCGGAGGGGCCGCACGCTCGTGGCTCCGCGGAGGTAGCTAGTGGCACATCCCGTTTCTGTAGTGTAGTGGTTATCACGTTCGCCTCACACGCGAAAGGTCCCCGGTTCGAAACCGGGCAGAAACATTCGATTTTTTTACCTCTTTTTTGTCTTATTTTTACTTTCTCACCTTCACATTCGCGTTTCAACGCCTCAAACGGCCCATCCCGCGGCGGGCAACCGGGAACGAGCGCCCCGGGGCCGTGCGGGTCTCGGTGCCGGTCCCGTCGCGATCCCCGGGGGACTGGCGGCGGCCGGAGGGTGTCGCAGTAGCAGCCCGGCTAGCTCAGTCGGTAGAGCATGAGACTCTTAATCTCAGGGTCGTGGGTTCGAGCCCCACGTTGGGCGCTTGGTTCGTTTTGCTTCTATTGGTCTTATTTTTGGCTCTACACACAGGCCGAGGGCCTCCAAGAGCATCCCAACCAAAAGCCTTTCGGGTTGGGTCCTGTCCTGGTGCCTGACCATCTTGGGGTGTCTGAAGCACTTCTCGCATGGGGTTGGGATTTTTTGGTGCTGAGGGTTTCATTCATGGACTTCCTGCAGCTTTCCAAGGGGAAAGCAAAGCTTTGATTCCTCATTTGCAACGAAACCAGCGACTTGAGCACATGTGGAGGAAGGGAAGAGGGACAACGCATGGATGCGTCAGCGTGAAGTGCTGCCCCACGGCCGGTCCTGGCGCGGGGGGGGGGGTTATCCCACCCGGAGTTCGATGGGATTGACGCTATCTGCTATCTGCCAGCTCACATCTGGCTCCAAACCAGCTGAACCCAAGCCAATGGGAGGCGAGGAGCAGCATCCCTCCCCTCCGCATCATTCCCTCTGTTAGGGGCTGATTTCCCCGCTGGCACCCAACAACCACAGCAGCAGGAGGAGGAGGAGGAGCAGCATCGCAGCGCTCATGGCCGCGCAGAGCCCCGCGGACACCCTGCGCAGCGAAACCTCCTGCTCCATCTGCCTCGGTTACTTCCAGGACCCGGTCTCCATCCCCTGCGGACACCACTTCTGCCGCGCCTGCATCTCCCGCTGCTGGGAAGGGCTGGAAGCGCCCTTCTGCTGCCCCCAGTGCCGGCACCCGGCTCCGCAGCGCAGCCTCCGGCCCAGCCGCGAACTGGGGAACATCGCGCTCATCGCCCGCAGGATGAGCCTGGGAGGAAGAGGAGGAGGAGGAGGAGGAGGAGGGGGGTGGGAGGCGCTCTGCGAGCAGCACCAGGAGGCCCTGAAGCTCTTCTGCACCGAGGACCTGCAGCCCATCTGCGTGGTGTGCGACCGGGCCCGTGCCCACCGCGGCCACAGCGTGGTCCCCATCGAGGAAGCTGCCGAGAAGTACAAGGTAAAGCCCCACGCACCCAAGGATCCCAGGCCTGGGAGGGGGCTCTGGGGGCTGCCCCGTCGGGGTTTAGTGCAGGGATGCTGGGGGTTTGCAGTGCTCCCAGCAGGTCCCGTCCCCCCCCACACTTGAATCCATTCACCTTTTCCAACAGGAAGGAGGCAAAAAGTCCCTTTTCCAGCCTTGGAACTCTGCTGTTGGCTTGGTTCAGCTGAGCGACCAACACGATAAATACCCAAAACCATGTAATTCGTTTTATCCCCTTTATAAACGTGGTTACATCCATTATTGAGGCCAGTTTTACATATTTACCCCCTTTTTCCCTATTCCTTTAGTTTCAATACAAAGAAATAACTTTTTCCTGTCTCCTCCCCTTGTTTTCCTGTTCCTCACCAGAACCCTCTGCAGTGTCATCATGTTATCACGATGCCATCACGTTAACATCACCATGGCAACGTGAGGGACTCCTCGCTGTGTGTTCCCGAGGGAAATCACCCCCCCTGCACTTATCTCGCTCTCACAGGCCTCGTGTGCTGCTGATGCTGCTTTGCTCTTCCCTTGCAGTGGTCACTTATGGACATTCCTCCTCCTCCTGTTGGCTTTGCTTCGTGCAGAGGAGCCGGTGTTCAGGCAAAGCCTCTCCCATGGGAGGCAAGGGCAGAAGCGATCCCAGTGGGAAAAGCCCCTTCAAGAGCATCTCTTCTTTGTCCCCAGGAAGAAATCCTGAGCTGCCTGCGGGCTCGGAGGGAGGAGAGGGAAAAGTACCTGGAAAGCAGGAATGCCGCAGGAAGGAGGAGCCCGTACCTGGTGGGTGTCCCCATGGGGAGCCTCAGCATGGGTCTCCCCGGTGTTTTGGGGCCAGATCCCATGTATTTGCTATGTATTTGCCCTGGGCTCCTGCCAAGCTCCACTTTATCTGCTGGGGTTTCACATCAGCTGCACCGGGCTGATAACACTGGGGCTGCTCTGGGAGCCAACAGCCCATTGGCTTGTACAGAGACATGGCTGGGAGGGGATTCCCTTATATCCTACAGATCCCCCTCTGGCAGAGCCCATCTCTTGGCTTTGCTGTGGGATAGTCCCACATCCATAGCAGGGCCTTTCGCACCTCACATTGACTGAGCATCACTGAGGACGCGGTCCCCGAGACCAACCTTGAGGCTCTCCTTGGGCCTGGAGGGGTCTTGGTGCAGCTCCATCACCTCCTGCCCCCCCTTTGGAGCCTCTGTGGTTCCTGCGGGGGCTGCGGCAGGGATGGGAAGGGGGAGATGGGAGAACGGCCCCTGGGGGAGCTCGCACCGTGCATGGAGGCGGGGGGGGGGATCAGCCCCTCTGAACCCCGCTTCCCCCCCGGCAGGAGCGGACCCGGAGCGAGGGCAGGAGGATGGCGGCCGAGTTCCAGCAGCTGCAGCGGCTCCTGCGGGAGCAAGAGCGCCTCCTGCTGGCGGAGCTGGCGCAGCTGGACCGCGCCATCGGCCGGGCGCAGGAGGAGGCGGCGGCCGCGGTGGCGGAGGAGATGTCCCGGCTCGACACCGTCCTGTGGGAGATGGAGGGCACGTTCCAGCAGCCCCCGAGCCTCTTCCTGCAGGTGGGGACAGAGCCTCAGGCCCCGTTCGTCCCTATGGGGCATTGCTGGGGGTCACCCCATGGCCATGAGGGCACAAAGGAGACGCAGCACCCACTGTGCCTCTCCCTGTGTCTCCTCGCACCCTTAGGACATCAGAAGACTCTTGGAGAGGTAACGCGGCTCCTCCTCACTCTGCTGAGGGAGCGCTGAGGTCCGGGTTTCAAACCGCATTGGGCTCAGCAGCATCCCTCCGGTGGTGGCCCTGCAAAGAGAAGGGGCTTGACGTGCTCCTGGATAAGGATCCTCAGCCCACCCCATGGCTTCTCCTGCATCGCTTAATGGAAGCAGAGCATCTCAGCCGTGGCCTTTGCTCTTTCCAGCTGTGAGATGATGAAGTTCAAGCCGCCGGCAGAGATCTCCTCCCATCTGGAAAGGAGACTTGAGGACTTTGTGCAGAGGAACGCGCTGGTGAGGGGCACGTTGAGGAGGTGCCAAGGTGCGGAGCAGGGCTGGGAGCTGGGGGGGTGCTTGGGGACAACGGGGTTGTGCTAAAGCAAAACCTGCCTGGTGGCTGCTGTGAGTGAATGCAGGTGGGGTTTGGCACTGGGAGCCTATAGGATGGAGCTGCAGCCACTTTGAGCCCTGTACCTGATGCTGTGGAATCTCTCTCCTCTGCAGACAGCCTGATGTTTAAACTGCAAGAGCCAAGTAAGTCGACGGCAGAGGTGGGTTTGGCTTGTGGGAGAGGTTTCCATGGGATAACAGTGCGGGAGAGGAGGGGTGACAGCATCCCGGTGTATCCAGGGGTGAGGTATACGGTCCTTGTAAAGCCAAATGCCCCCCGGGAGCCAAAGAAAGAAGAGCACTCGCTCTTCCCCTTCCCTCCCCACACATCTCCCACCATCCCCTCCCTGTGCTCCATCCTTCATCCTCGCCCCCTTCTCCTTCCACCCGGGAGCATCCCAAGGGCGGTCCCCCCGCTCCCCATGCCCCCCATGCAGCATCCAGAGCCGGGAGGGATGAACCCACCTCCAGCCCCTCCCTTTGCCCTGCAGCCAACGTCACCCTGGACCCCTCCACGGCTCACCCCAACCTCCGCATCTCCGAGGACCTCAGGGAGGCCCGAGGCCACCTCCGGGCGCAGGACGTGCAGGACACCCCGTGGAGGTTCGACTACGAGCCCTGCGTGCTGGGGCAGCCGGGCTTCACCTCGGGCAGGCACTTCTGGGACGTGGACGTGGGGCAGGGGGGGGTCTGGGCGCTGGGGGTGGCCCGAGCATCCTTGCCCAGGAAGGGACCCCTGAGCCTCACGCCCAAGGAGGGCGTTTGGGCGCTGGAGGCTTTCCACTCGCTCGCGTCCCCCCGCGCCAGCGCGCGCCCCAGCCCGGTCCCCAGCAGGATCCGGGTGGCCCTGGACTACGAAGGGGGCCGGGTGGCGTTCTTCAGCGCTGCCGCCGCCGAGGTTCCCCTCCTGGTTCACACCAGAGCCTCCTTCAACGGGGAGCGGCTCCTGCCCTGGTTCAAGGTGGGGATGGGCGCTCGCCTGCAGGACGTGAGCCAAGCACGGCCCTCGGAGGAGCAGCCCCTGAGCGGGGGGCTCATGGCCCCCCTGGACTGGGTTGGGTTCGGGGTCCCGCTCCGCATCTGCCCTTGAGGTGGGGGTCAAGCCCCAGACCCTCAGAGCGGGGTGGGCTCCTGCTGACGGTGCTCACGGCATCCTCTCTGTGTCCATTGGGAGCTGCGGGATGAGGATGCGGAGATGGGGGCACCGGCAGGACCGGGCACTACGAGGGGATGGAGGCAGCGCGTCCTGAAGGAGCACTCAGGGCTCTGATGCTCTTTTAACGCTTATTTTTGGCCTGAATCGTCCCGTTTAAATCCCTTTGCAAAGAGTTTTCTTCCTGGCACCACTCAAGGCAGACCCAGAGCCTGTTTTCCCAAGGGACGTGGCCTTTCCCAACCGACTGCTTTGCTCTGGGAGCTGATCCCAATCTCTGCCACATTCCTATGCTCGCCCTCAATAAAAGAACCCTTTGGTTTGAACTCTCTGCCTTGCTATGGGTGCATTTCATAGCCTTTGGGACAGCAAAGAGGGGTGCTGGGGGGTGGGGGTGGTGCTCAGCCATTCAACTGGGAGCTAAAGGGAAACAATCCCACCTGGATGAATCCCCTCAAAACTGATGGTTTCTGCTGAGAAAGCCCCAGAGGGGAAGAGGCATCCTCCGGACACACGTTATCCCACCACGCTCCTTAGGAACACAAGCCCTAGATCCCATTGGAACTGCTTGATGGGAGGGAGAGATCCAGGTTTCCCTTCCTCCTCCAGCCCCACTGCTTCCTTCCCAGCTCTTCCATGGTGTCCTTACCCTGGAGATGCGGCCTGCAGCCATCTCCAACTGGTTTTCCAGGTTCCAGAGGTGCTTCTGGGCACAGCCCTGGGCTCCTCATTGAGACGAAAGGAGCAGGGTGGGAGCCAAGTAGACCCAAGCTTCCAGTCCTGATGGGAACAGCTTACTGGGAATGGGGCGTGGACTTCCAACACTGGCCAAGCAATGGGATCCATCCCTTCCGTGGGGGTCTCCACACCTCCCAGTTGCTGCCATGCAGATATATGTCTACTGATGGAGCTGATCAAAGGGTTATAAATGGCTTAGGAACATCCCCTGTGAGCTCGGAGCCAGGATGGGGCTTCTTGGAGGGCACAAAGTGATGGGCACATCCACGGCCTGGGTGCCGACTGCGCCCCATTGAGTCCCAGCCCCTCTTCCAGCACACACAAGGCTCTGCTCACACGGTTTCCTCCCTGTTTTCCCCCTCCATGGTCCCACCAAGAGCTCCCGGAGGCTGGAATGTCTTGGGGGGGATGGATTTGCCTAATTCCCACCACTAAAGGGGGAGAAGGGAGAGGCAGGAAGGGGCAGCCCTGGGGATAGAAAGTGCTTTGATTCCCTCCTAGCACATCCCCACCCCTGCCATGGCACACGGACCGGACTCACAGGCTCAGCGCATCCCTGCTCCAGGTCTATTATCCAGCACTGGGGAGGAACAGGAAGGGAAAGATCCAGCCCCATCAAAGGGAGAAACCCGACAGGTTTGGGCCTTTTAAGTGCACTTTGGAAGAGCTCGGGAGCTGTTCTGGAGGGGGAGAAGGTCTCCGAGAGGAGCAGAACCCTGGAGTGCAGGAAACTGGAGGCTCTGGTGGGTACGGAGGTCCCTGGGCAGTGACACAAGGGCTCAGGGGCAGCTCCTTGCTCTGCAGCATGGATGTGATGCTGAGCGCGGGGACATCAAGGCTTTCACCCCAAGCTGTGGTGGCTTCTTTTGCATCAGGTTTAATGGGAAAGAAACGGTGGGGATTTGGGCTCCTGGATGATGTTTTCCTGCAGGAAAGGCTTTTCCCCTCCTGTTGCTGCTTCGTTTGCACCTCCAAAGGGGAGCCCTGGTGCTGCAGGTCCCCAAAAGGCTCTTTTCTTCTTGCTTTCCCAGCTGGAAGACCTGAAGAATGAGATCGAGAAGAGGCAGGCCAAAAATGCCACCAAATTCCCAGAGAATTCCCAGCTGGACACTGAGGCACAAGGGCGAGAAGAGAAGAACCAGCAACCAGTGAGGGAATCATTGCATGTACAGGGGTTTATGGGGAGGGGAAACCCCCCTGGCTGGGACTCCCCAGTCCCACTTTGCTTCTATTCCCTCTGTAGATCCCAAGGGGATGGAGGGAGGGGGGTTCGCAGCCTGGTACGATGGGAATGGTTTGGAGAAGGAGCAGTGAGGGCTGGTGGCTCCCTATGGGGTGGGGAGAGGAATGTGATGGTGCAAGGAGCATCACCTGCAATGGGCAGCCCAGAGCATCAGGCCCAGGGGCTGAAGCCTGTGGCCATGTTCCTTCAAGGCATCTTGTGATGTAAGAAGAGTCCACACTGAGCTTCCTTTTCCCTTTCTCCTTCCCCCAGGACATAAGGAGCACCGTCAGCAGGTACGGGGCCTCTCCAAAAGGCTGTTCCATGAGGTTTCCCAAGAGCCATGGGGGAGCAATGCCCATGGTGGCTGCTTCAGGGGGTCTGGAAAGGGGTTTGGGTACCACCACCACTGTGTGCTCACCATCCCCTTCCTGGTGGCACCGGATTGGCCCGGTGATGGGGATTCCAAAGGCGAGGTTTTCCTCTTCCCTAGGTGTGGAAAGGTGACTTTCCAGCTCCCGGCAGGTGCTTGTCCGGAGTCAGAGGAGAGATCCTGCCACTTCTCCTGGAGGAACGGAGCGCTGAAGGAGACCCTGAGGAAGCTGCAAGGTACGGAAGGGCTTGAGGAGGGGGAGCTGCTTGACCCGTATTGGGAGAGCTTGAGGAGCTGCCCATAGAACACCCTGGGTATGCTTGGGAATGGAGATGCTGCAGTGAGGAGACGGGGAACAAAGGGGGTTCCTGGCCAGAAGGTTGGTACCCACATTTATCACTGTCAATTGTCCATGCTCTGCCCTGATTCCTGACGGATGCTCCTGCTGGAGCTCCCCAGTCCGGCCTATTCCAACCCCAGAAAGGGCTGAGCATGAGGACACAGGAGCAGCCGTAGCTGTGGGGTGAAGGTGGAACCCGAAGTGCCCAAAAGAGAGGCTGAAGGAGGGGTATGGAAATCAGGACAACCCAACGGGTTTGCCCAGCCCTGCAGCTGGAAGAACCCCCCCTCCAGGGCAGAGCCAACTGGTTCCATGGGCATGGAAACTGGTTCAGCGCCAGCTCTTAGCTCTTCTTGTTGTTTAAGCTCAGCTGAACCAGTCTGGTCTTGCCCTGTGGTTGTGCAGGAGGCATCCCACATCCCACATCCACATCCCACATCCAAATCCTGCATCCCGCATCCCACATCCCAGATCCACATCCCACATCCCGCATCCCGCATCCCGCATCCCGCATCCCGCATCCTGCATCCCGCATCCCGCATCCCGCATCCCACATCCCGCATCCCACATCCCGCATCCTGCATCCCGCATCCTGCATCCCGCATCCTGCATCCTGCATCCCGCATCCCGCATCCCACATCCCGCATCCCACATCCCACATCCACATCCTGCATCCCACATCCCACACCCCTTCCCTTCCTTCTTTCCTCTCCCAGCGTAGCCTGAAGTCCGCAGGAGCCTGGTGCCATTGCTGTGTGCATTTCCTTTGGGGATTCGGGGGTTAAAGACAGCTTTTCTGCTTCACGGACAGCACCTTTCCCTGCCTTGGGATGCTTCTGTTTGGGATGCTTCCGCTTGGGATGCTTCTGTTTGGGATGCTTCCGCTTGGGATGCTTCTGTTTGGGATGCTTCCGCTTGGGATGCTTCCATTTGGGATGCTTCCATTTAGGATGCTTCCGCTTGGGATGCTTCCATCTGGGATGCTTCCATTTAGGATGCTTCCGCTTGGGATGCTTCTATTTGGGATGCTTCCATCTGGGATGCTTCCATTCGGGATGCTTCTTCCCCTCGGATACCGTCCCTGGTCCTGCTGCCCCCTCCTCTCTCCCCCCACCCCCGGCAGGGCTCAACCCTCTTTCTCCCCCCGATCCCGCCCCCGCAGCCGCCGTGACGCTGGACCCGGCCACGGCGCATCCCGACCTCATCCTGTCGGAGGACGGCAAGAGCGTGCGGGGCGGCGCGGGCCGCCGGGCCCTGCCGGACAACCCGGAGCGCTTTGACTACTGGCCCTTCGTGCTGGGCTGCCAGGGCTTCGCGGCCGGGCGGCACTGCTGGGACGTGGAGGTGGGCGACAGCGGGGACTGGGCGCTGGGGGTGGCCCGGGACTCGATCCAGCGCAAGGGGCACCTCAGCCTCTGCCCGCAGGGGGGGATCTGGGGCCTGGAGAAGTGGGGGGGGCAGGTGCGGGCCCTCACTGCCCGCAGGGTGACGCTGCTGCCGCAGCGCTGGGCTCCGCGCAGGGTCAGCGTCCACCTGGATTACGGCGGCGGGACCGTGGCGTTCTTCGATGCCGACGAAGGGGGGCTCATGTTCATCTTCTCCCGCGCGGCCTTCACAGGGGAGAGGGTCCGGCCCTGGCTCTGGGTGGTGGGAGCCCGGTCCCAGCTCAGGCTGTGTCCGTGAGACACGGGGGGGGCATCCCCTAACCCCAGCCAGGAGCAGCATCCCCTAAACCAGGAGAGCATCCCTTAACCCTAACCCAGAGGAGCATCCCCTAAACCAGGGGAGCATCCCTTAACCCTAACCCAGAGCAGCATCCCCTGACCCAGAGCAGCATCCCCTAACCCAGAGCAGCATCCCCTAACCCAGAGCAGCATCCCCTAACCCAGAGCAGCATCCTCTAACCCCAACTCAGAGCAGCATCCCCTAACCCTATCCCAACCCCAAACCATTTCCTGTCCTCTCCTCCAACACATTTGATACTAACGATGGACATCATCAGTAATAAAATGCACCTGATTTTCCCCTCGTCTTTCCCTCTTGTCAGGACTGCAGCAGGCAGAGAGGGGCCCAGTGCATGGGGTGTCCTTATGTACCTGCAGAGGGCTTGTCGGCCTTTCTGGGTGCAGGCACAGCCAACTCACAGGCCTTGTGCAAGGAAAGACCACAAATGGGATCTAGTTAACCACCCCCCCCTCAAGAACCTGACATCCAGAAGCAGCAAATAACCAGGCAGAGAAGAACTTGACAGCATCTAAATCCTTTTACTTCATCTAAAAGCATAAGAGGGAGAAGCAGCCAGGCTGGTGTGAGATGCTGGGGCTCCGTTTGATGCCCTGACTCGGGGGTGACCCATGGGGATGCTCATCCCTTTGCCATCATGGGCGATGGAAACAGAGGCTAGAAAGGGCAATTTAAGACCTCCAGAGAGCTGGAAATGGGGATACTGGGGACAGGAAGCTTGTGTTTGGGTGGGAAGGGGGAGCCTCATGGACACAATGTGATGTGGGCCCCTTCGCCCCACACCAGGAACCAGGGGTGGACGCTCTCCCCTTTGAAGGAGGCTGCTGGGAAGGTGAAGATCAGGGATCTCTTATCAGCATCAAAAAACGCCACCTGACCCCGGTCATAGTCCAGGGAGACCTGGACCCTGGTGGGGACCTGGAGCTGGTACAGTGGGATGCGCTCGAGGGAGGTGAGAGCCCAGAACTGCCCCTCGCAGAGCCCCATGGACCACAGCTCCATCCCGGGGCCCTCAGCTCCCTCCTCCCTCCTCCCGAGGGGCCGTGTGGCCACCCCGACAGCCCAGGAGCCTCTGGGGGCCACCTCCACCTCCCAGCAGCATCTCCCCACAGTGATGCCCTCACTGCCCAGGACACAGGGGTCGGTGCCCAAGCCCTCAGTGCATGGGTCCTGGTGGGCATCATTGTCCCACCTCACGCTGCTCCCATCGGCCGACACCACGAGCTGGGGATGAGCTGTGGATGGGTCCAGGGTCACCTTCACTGTGAAGGGCAGAGGCAGAGCATCAGAGGAAACCAAGCAGTGTTCCATGGCCCCAGGGAGCACGTAGCACCATCAGTGGAGGTGCTGGTTGCTTTCCCCATCCCACAGGGCTCAGGAGCAGCTTCCCAAGGGATGAAGAAGCAGGAGGGCAAATGAGTAGGAGACCCCCAGCCTTCAGGGTGTTTTGTGCCAGAAGTGTGCATTTGGTCCCTGACCACCCCTATGTGATGGGCAGAGCCAGTCCTCATGCAGCTCCATTGAGAGAACAGCGCCTTACGGTGAGGACTGCCTGACTCCTTAGGGGTTTTTCCTCCCTTCCCGTTCATCGCTTGGTCCAGACACAGATGAACCCATCCCAGGTTGGGCTCAGCCTTCCCTTGGCCCTTCCCACTCCCTCACCTCCAGGAGATGGGCACTTACTCTTTTCTGGCAGCTCGAACATCAGGATGTCTATAGAGGGGGGAAGAGGGGACGTGAGCTGGTGTTAACACGAAGACAGGGTTGTTGTGATGCTCAGAGCACACACGCACCTTGGAAGCTCCTGAGGGTCTCCTCCAGAGCACTGTTTCTGTCCCTGAAATGGTTGATTCTCTCCTCCAGCTCCGCAAGCAGCAGGGGGGGCTGCTGGAAGCTCTCCATTTCAAGCCTAGGAAGCAGGATGGGACAAAGAGGGGAAGGATTCATCTCCCCAAAGAGAGACCAAGAAGGCTTTGATAAACCTGGTGCATGGGCAACCACGGGTAGAGCTCAGGGTCCACACTCAGGGATCTGCCCACAGAGCCTCTGGGCTTGCCAAGCACACAAGGTCTAAATCCCTCCCAAATAGGTGCTTGGGGAGCCCCATACCTGCTCAAGGTGCCTCTGATGTCCTGGAAGGGAGAGAGGGAAGAGGGGGCTCGGTGAATGGCTCTTAGTAGGGAAACATCTCCTGAAGCAGGCACAGCTTGGGCTCGGCTGCATCATGGGGCCCGGATGGTGGTACCCAGAGAGTGGTCCCCTGGCTCCTCACCTGCAGGAATTGGTTTGCCGGCTGCTGGCTCTTCTCCTCCATCTCCTGGATGAAGGAATCCAGGCGGGAGATCTCCTTTGTCAGGCTGGTGACGTTTTCTTCCTGCAGCTTCTCGATGTCCCGCTCCAGGTCCCCCAGCTGAGCCAGCAGATGCTGGGCATGGTCCTCCAGGAAGAGCCGCAGCCCTTCCAGCTTGGATAGGACCCTCTGGCGCTCGGCTGTGGTCTTCTCCTGCGAGGAGGGGATAAAAGAAGGAAAAGGGAAGGGGATTCTATCCATCCATCCATCAGTCCATCCACCCACCCATCCGTCCATCCATCCCAAGTACCTTTTATACAGATCTCTTGATCTGCATGCAGCAGTTGAGTACCTGGCAGATCTCCAGGCTCTGCCCATTATGCATCATTTGGTTTGGAACCTGGAGCAGGACCCCAGCCCCAGCAGGACCATCTCCCATCTAAAGCCAGAGCCTGACATCCAGACCGCCCTTACCAAGTATTCCCAGTTCCTCCTCATCTCAGCCTCTCGCAGCCCCAGGAGTTTGTCTCTCTCTTCCTTCAGGGCTTGCAGACGGGCCTGGATTTGTCCCTAGGGAAGGAAAAAGGTCTCTGGAGACTGGGCTGCCCAAGAAGGGGATTGTGCTGTGGTCAGCTCCAGAGACTTGAACTTCACAGAAGAGAGGTGGAGACCTCAGCCCTCCATCCCCGGGGCACCGGATGAGAACTGAGAGAGCAGAAGCACTGGTGCATGCCCTGCGCTGTCATTCTGAAACAGGCTCTGTGGGAAGCATGGAGGGGGTTCTGCCCGCATAGCACAGCCCTGGGTGAGGGCAGGATGCTCCACAGCCTGATGGTGACCCGAGGGTGCCGGTGGGAGGGAAAAGCCCCATTGTACCTTGTATCCCTGGAGAGCGTCCTGCGCGGGGAGCATCCTGTGGGAGCGGTGCGCGCGGGACTCCCTGCAGATCACGCACACGAAGGCTCCATCCTCCTCGCAGAAGAGCTTGAGCGGCTCCTGGTGCCTCTCGCACCGCTCCCCTTGCCCCGGGTCCCCCCCGGCCGCCTGCGCGCTCAGCCTCCGCGCCGCCTCCAGCACCCGCGCCAGCTCCCGGCTGGGATGCAGCGTCCGCTCCGGGGCCGCCTCCCGGCACCGCGGGCAGGGGAAAGGCGCCGTGGCCCATTCCCAACAGCGGGAGATGCAGGCGCGGCAGAAGTTGTGCCCGCAGTGGATGGAGACCGGGTCGCGGAAGTACTCGAGGCAGATGGGGCAGGAGGCTTCGCGGGGCAGCGCCGTGGAGGGGCTCGGGGCAGACATCGGGTCCCCCCCTCGATGCAGCGGCTGCTTTCGTTTGCCTTCGAGCAAGGGAAAGGCGTTTCCCTTCCGCCCCCCCCCACCCCACCCCCGGGGGGGGGGGGGCAGAGCCAGAGCAGAGCCCGGCTGGGATGGGGGGGGAAGCATCCCTCGAGCGATGCCTGCTCCCCATGGTCTGCATGGGCTTCCCGGTACCCAGAGCCCTGTCTGAGGGGCAGACCCACATCCTGGAAAAGGGCCGGGCTTGGGAGCAAAGAGGATGTGGGGAAGGGGCTCGGTGTGGTAAAGGTGACAAAGAGCAATGGAAAAGATGGGGAAGAGCATCCATGGGAAAGGTGTGCTGCTGCAGCAGGAAGAGGAGCAGGGGACAGAGCAGCATCCTCAGTGCAAAGGCCAGAGGCAACATGGGGAGGATCAACCCCAACACCAGCCCCTCTGCACCTTCCATTATCTACACCAACCCTTAGCTCCAGGTTAAGCAATAAGAGAAGCCTCGAGCATGATGCTGAGCCCCAGGTTTCAGTGTGAGTGCTCACGCACACAACTAGCAGTGGATGTTCCCAGATGTGTCACTTCATCACCCAGCCTCAGCACCGTGCAAAGGAGCCCTGTCTCGTTGCTACAGCTCTGCAGGGGAGCCAGGATGCACAGAAGGCACCTTCACATTAACCTTGCTAAGAGGGTGCGTGATCAGCGACTCAAACAGCAGCATCCTGCCCAAAAGGAGAACTGAAAGCAGCAGTAAGGGGTTATAGCTGCACGTACACACGCAGGAAGGAGGTGCTGGCAGTGGCAAGGAGTGAAGGGTGGGATGACAACCCAGGAAATTGTGTTTGTTCTCCATTGAACCTCTTCCCCCCCCCCAAGGGAAAGGGGGGGTCTCCCTTCATTCCCCATCCCAAAGACCCATTGCCCCTCAGCACCGCAGCTGCTCCTCTGCTCTCATTCACCTCCCTTGGGGGCAGAGGCACTGCTGGGGCAGGAAGTGAAACCTGTCCCATCCTCCCCCCCACCGAGCCCATGGCTGCAGCCAGCCCTGCGCAGAGCTTCCACCATGAAGCCTCCTGCTCCATCTGCAGGGACCTCTTCCAGGACCCCGTCTCCATCCACTGCGGACACAGCTTCTGCCGGGGCTGCATCACCCGATGCTGGGAGCGATCCGACGGGAGCTTCTCCTGCCCTCGGTGCCGGGAGACGGCGCCGCAGAGGAACCTGAGACCCAACCGGGAGCTGGCGACGCTGATCACGGTGGCGCGGAGGCTGAGCCTGCAGGCGGGCAGAGCCGGGCTCCGGCTGTGCCCCGAGCACCGGGAGGCCCTGAAGCTCTTCTGCGAGGAGGAGCAGAGCCCCATCTGCCTCGTGTGCAGGGAGGCCCAGGAGCACCGCGGCCACAGCGTGGTGCCCATCGAGGAGGCTGCCGAGGAGCACAAGGTGGGGAGCGCCCGTGCGTGGCAGGGGCAGGAGAAGGGGGCCGAGGTCAAGGGAGATGCCCCATGGGTTGATCTGCTTGAGGAGGGGTTGATCTGCTTGAGGAGGGGTTGATCTGCTTGAGGAGGGGTTGATCTGCTTGAGGAGGTGTTGATCTGCTTGAGGATCACCCCTTGCAGCAATAGGACACGGGGTGATGGGTTTAAACTTAATCAAGGGAGGATCAGGTTGGAGATAAGGAAGTTCTTCACTCTGAGTGTGGTGGGACACTGGAATGGGTTGAATGGAGAAGGTCTGGATGAACCATCCCTGGCAATGGTCGAGGATGGGCTGGACTGGACTGGGCTTGGAGCAACCTGCTCTAGTGGAAGGCCCATGGCAGGGGGTTGGAGCTGGGTGATCTTAAGGTGTCTTCAACCTAAACCAGGCCATGATTCGATGTTATTAAGCAGGGAAGAGCCTGAGTTTGTAAGAGGATGAGGTGGGATGGGGGCCGAGGGATGGAGCAGCTACAGGGAGGAAATGCACCACCAAGGTTTCTTCTCCATTCAGGAGAAACTCCAGGCTCACGTGCAGGTCCTGAAGGGCAGGAGAGAAAAGCTGCTGGGACTGAAAAAGGCCGAGGAAGGGAAAAGCCTGGACCTCCTCGTAAGTGTCTGTCCCTTCCCTTCTGGTTGTCCCTGTGGCCATGGTGACGGATGTGGAGAGAGCAGATGTGCCACGGCCCAGGAACGTCCTCTTCATTGGTCAGTGGCAGCAGCCTGGCCCATTCTCCCCACATCCCTGCTCCATGCAGGCTGGGAGCACGGGTTGGGTTTTCCCAAGTTATTGTGCATCCTCTTCCTCGGTTTCCTCACATGTGGAGCGCGTTCCCACATTCCCCCTCCTAATTCCTGCAGGGAATGGGAATCCCCCTATGGGCTCCCCTTTGCCTCGGTTTCCCTTTCCCCAGCTGTTTATGTGTCTCTTCTTTCGTTGCTCAAAGCATTCAAGGCCCATGGGAAATGGAAGTCTTGGCAGTTTCTGGGAAAGGGAAGCCGGAAAGAAGCCTGGAGAAGGCAAACAGAAGCGTTTCCGTGATGCCCGCGCCCTGGAGCGGGCTCCAGGCTCCAAGTCCCCCACAGCCCCTCTCCACTGGGGTTCCCCTGCCCCATCCCTGTGCGTGTTCCCCGCAGGAGCAAGTGGAAGCGGCGCGGCAGGAGGTTGTGTCCCAGGCCAAGGAGCTGCAGCGGCTCGTGGCGGCCCAGGAGCGCCTCCTCCTGGAGCGCCTGGCCCGGCTGGACCAGGGCATCGTGAGGAAGCAGGAGGAGAGCATCGGGAGGCTCCTGGGGGAGGCGGCCTCCATCAGCGAGCAGATCCGGGAGCTGGAGGAGAAGAGCCAGCAGCCGCCGTGCGAGCTCCTGCGGGTGAGGAGGGGCTGAGCCCCATCGGTGCCCTTGTGCCGCTGCTCAGAGCAGCCTAAATGCTCCTTTAAGGCCCCATCTTTCCAAGCTCTCTTGGGAATGGATTTCCTCCCATGTTCACAGCACGGCCCAGATGCCCCCGTGAGCGTTTCACATCCCTGCTTAGATCCCTGTCTGCCTCAATGGGGACGGGCTCATCCGCATCGGCTGTACATGCACACATCCAAAGCGTTGTCTGGGCTCCTTCATACGCAGTGGAGGAACAGGAGGCACTCACTTCACTCTCAGGCCATCATGAAACCCCCTGAGCCCACCTCCAGGCTCTGTTTAGTGGCTAAAACCTCATTAAATGGTGCTGCCGCGGCCTCACCTCACCCCCAGCAGGTCTGCAGGTGCTGTAGGGCTCATTTTAAACCCACCATTTAGACAGAGCAGAGCCTTGAGGTCACCCCAGAGCCCTGTGGTAGCTGCTTGAAGCCAGGCTTTGCTCTGACCTAATGCTCCTTCTCTCATCCTTCCCTTGCAGGACATCAGCAACACCTTGAGCAGGTTTGTGGCTCCTTTCTGGTGATGTTAATGTCCTTTCCCTCTGCGGTGGTGACACTGATGGGCTCCAGAACCCCAACAACGGTGACCCCTGTGTGCTAGGGACCATATAGACATGCAGGAGACAACTAGGACCCTGCAAAAGGTGCTGAAGATCAGGGGAAGGTATCAGGTGGGATGACAGCACCTCCAGCTCAGCTGCAGCAGAGCTACCTGCCCCTGCAGGGCTGAGTTATCCCTCCCTGCCCTTGTGAGGCCGCCAAACCCATCGGTGTTTAAACCCTAAGGACCTAGGACCAAGCCTTCATTCTAGCCCTTATAGCTTTAAAGGACCCCCCAGGTGACAGCGAGTCACCATGGCCATCATGAGCAAAGGGATGTTCTCAGGAAGGTTTTCCTGCTCTCCAGGCTGGAGAAGGACGGAGCCCAGGAGCCAGCAGAGGCATCGCCTGAGCTGGGGCAGAAACCCAGCGCTCCCCCTCTGGAAAGCGTTGCCCTCAGAGAGATGCTGATGAAATGTAAAGGTACAGAGAGGATGGGGAGGCAGGGGATGGTCTGTCTGAAGGAGGACATCTCGGCTACATAGAAGTGCCATGGAGGGATGCTTCCAACAGGCTCTGCAGAGCTGTGGCTGTGCCAGCACAGCAAGAGGCACTTACCGGGGTGGGAGAGGGCAGTTTTGCCTCTGGCAGAGCTTGGGGGTGCAGTAAGTGTTGGGATGCTCATGCAGGGTCGCCATTGCCTTTGGAAATCACCTCTCAAAGGTGAGCATTGCAAATAGTTCCATGTGGGAGCATCAAAAAGGGGGAGCAACGGGAGACCCCCCCAAAGCCTTACAAAAACAATGCAGCTTTCCCACTCTTCCCATCTTACTTATGGGCATGAACCCCCTCCTGCACTGCTCCAGCAAGCAGGAACCGGAGGCTGAAGCATCCCAAGGGCCAGGGTGAGGGGGGGAAGATGGGGCCTCCCCCGGGGCTGTAGCCGGAGCCGCGGCGGTGATGGTGCTGCTGCTGCTGCCTCCATCCGCAGTTACCCTGAGGCTGGACCCGGACACGGCGCATCCGCGGCTGGCGCTGTGCGAGGAGCGCAGGAGCGTGAGGTGGGGGGGCACCCGCCAGCCGCTCCCCGACAACCCCGAGCGCTTCGACTCCTCCCGCTGCGTCCTGGCCCGCGGAGGCTTCACTGCCGGGAGGCACTACTGGGAGGTGGCGCTGGGGCAGGGGCAGGTCTGGGCCCTCGGCGTGGCCAAGGAGTCGGTGCGGAGGAAGGGGCGGATCATCATCACCCCCACGGAGGGGATCTGGGCCGTGGGGCAGTGCGGGAGCAAGTCCCAGGCTCTCACATCCCCCCCCATCCCCATCGCCCTGCCCGCGGCCCCCGCCGTGATCGGGGTGTACCTGGACTACGAGGAGGGGAGGGTGGCGTTCTTTGACCCCCGGCAGGAGGTGCCCATCTTCAGCCACCCCCCGACGGCCTTTGCAGGGGAGAAAATCCTCCCCCTGCTCTGCCTGGGCAGGGGCTGCCAGTTCACGCTGTCCCCATGACCCCCCATGGGACAGCATCGCCTGAGTGCAGCTCGCTGGGGTCTGGGACGGATATGGGGAGCGTGGAGGATGGAAAAGCCTCGTTTCTCCATCATTTATGTCGACAAGAAGCATCGGCTGGCCCGGGGGGGATGCTCTGCTCCCCAGAACAACCCGTCCTGCCCTGCTGGTGCATCCGTGCCCATAAACCCCCTCCAAAACCTCTCTGTTGGAGGACAGGGATCAAGCTGAGCCACACACGCACCTCTCCAATGTAATCCAAGGGGGAGGTAGGCAAGGTCTGATCTGATAGAAGGGTACTTTACATCACCAGCAGTACCTGCGTCCCTGGTGAGGGCTCATGTTGGCATGGAGAAATAAACCCTTCCCCAGCAGAGCTGCCTTTAACCTCTCATTGGGCAGCAGCCCCGGGATGAGCTGTTGGTGGGTGAATATTTGGGGCTGTAAGGAGGAACCAAGGGGGATGGAGGGTGCTCATGGGAGCATTTCCCAATGGATTGAGTCATAATGAGGAGCCAAAGGGCATTCTGGAAGCTTGGCTGTAAGGAGCAGCAGATGCATGCAAACGGTGCATGCAAACCCCTCTGGAAGCTGCTGCACGGCCACAAGCGCTGTGTTTGCATGGACGGAGCAGCTCTGCTCGTCCCTTTGCATATGCAGGAGGATTCACAGCGGGAGCCGCAGAGCCGGAGCTTCTCGTCCTGCAACAGCGAGGTGGGGTGCCCCAGGGATGAGCAGCTCCAAACTGGTTCCCAGTAACAAGCTGGGTGATCCTTGCTGGCTTCCCATCCAACCCCACTGGGGTACGGGGAAATCTGATCACTGAGTGGCTGCGAAATGCCCCCATTCCTTGAAGGAAAGCCGTGGGCTGCCTGCTGGGACACCCTTTCTGCTGGAGCTGCACCCATGTGGGGCTGAGGAGAGGGAACGGGGGCAAAGGACCGAAAATAAACGGGAAACGGGGCAAAGAACCGCAGGAATCGGTCCCGGCCGAGATGTTCAGTGTGCGATGAGGTGCGTATGGCCTCCCTGGTGGTCTAGTGGTTAGGATTCGGCGCTCTCACCGCCGCGGCCCGGGTTCGATTCCCGGTCAGGGAAGATGCTTTTTCTTCTCCCCATTCTGGATGCCGTTTTGGGGAAAACGCCTTTATTTAGCGATGGGTCTTGTTTATACTTTTGTAGGTGTTGTTTGCTACTTAGAAGTTTCATTTAATACGGGTAGCAGCGAGAAGTGTTTACCCAAACCGTGCAAAAACGCGGGAGAGGTTAGCAAGGCGATATTTGCGGGAAAAAGAGCAATAATGTTGATAATAAAACCTAATACTCCCAGAAAAACGATATAAGAAGGGGGGGGAGGGAGGGAAAAGGGAGTGTTTCTGCCCGGTTTCGAACCGGGGACCTTTCGCGTGTGAGGCGAACGTGATAACCACTACACTACAGAAACCCTGATGGCAGCGTTGCCCACGCTGCCCGAACCCTGCCTGCACCCTGCCTGCACATAGCCCTGCATAGGTCGAGCCCCGAGCCCCTGCAAACCTTCTGCAGCGGACACTCCCAAACCCACCTTATTTCGGAAGTTGTTTAGCTGATTTTAGGAAAACCACCCGTTTAACCGCCGAGAAGTGCAAAAAAAAAGACCTGAATTCGGTCAAAATTAAGCGAAAATATCCCTTTTTGCATGTTTCCCACTCCACTGTGGGAGAAAACATATACTTAATATTTTGGGTTTATAATGACCCAGCCGTGAGGTGGTTTCTGACGGAAGCAGCGGCGCGAAGGGGAAAATGATGGGGTTTTAGGAAAAAAAAAAAAAACAAAACCAAAATTCCGGCTGTCAGGAGTGGGATTTGAACCCACGCCTCCACACGGAGACCAGAATTCCCAAGTGCGGGAAGGCAAAGCCTTGAGTCTGGCGCCTTAGACCACTCGGCCATCCTGACGGCAAGGAATTGGGGCTGGAAAAGGAAATATAGGGATGCTAAAAACTTAAGTGCTTATTAAATTGCAGGGTTTTTTTCCTTTTGAGGTTTTATGGTGACTGTCAGAGCTGGAGCACCGAAAAGTCGGGAAGTGCTTGAATTGCATTTGAATCGTGGGGGTGGGAAAAGAAATAACCGCCCAACGTGGGGCTCGAACCCACGACCCTGAGATTAAGAGTCTCATGCTCTACCGACTGAGCTAGCCGGGCACGCACAAGCCTTTCTTCTGGCCTCATTTTGATGCGGGATTCGGGAGGTGTCAGCCCCTTGCGGGAGTGGGAAAAAACACCTCAGGAGTGAAATTAAATGCTGCGGAATGCTTCCCGCTTGGATGAATAATATCCAAGCAGCAGAAGACGGAATTCCGCGTGAATTCCTTGGGAAAACTCCTTTATTGTTATTGTTTCTTTGTTCCACGCGCGTATTGGTACCCAACTGGGGTTAAGGATGGGGATGCGGGCGGGGGGAGAGGGGCGCGTGGTGGGTTTCTGTAGTGTAGTGGTTATCACGTTCGCCTCACACGCGAAAGGTCCCCGGTTCGAAACCGGGCAGAAACAGCCGTTAAGTAGACTTTTTTTTCTCATTTTCATGAATTTTGTACACCCATATTCCTCCAAATTCTGGAACGGCAGTGCTTGGGGAAAATCTCTATAGAAAGCACACGCTGCAGAAGGGAATTTGATTTAATTTAGTCTATGCATTAATATCTTCCTTGGGGACACACTGCTAAGCCCCACCAGGCGACAGGAATATTATTCTCGCAGAATAGCTCATCTGTTCTAATTTCGATGGATCTGGAATTGTCTTTTTCTAGGGGAAAAAAAAAAAAAAAAAAGAAAGAAAAGCAGAAGTAAAGCAGGCGTGGGAGGGAAGTTTTAAATTCAGCTTAATTATAGGAAAATTAAGGCCTTTTCCCTGACCGGGAATCGAACCCGGGCCGCGGCGGTGAAAGCGCCGAATCCTAGCCACTAGACCACCAGGGAGCTGCTTTTTGAGGTGTATTTTACCAATCCTATCATTTATCTCTGCACATCTAACAGCCCCCAAATCCCATTCCGCAGCCCCAACGCTGCCGCCTCCCAACAGCCCAACAGGAGCCGCTTTTTTCTGTCCACGGAATTAATCAAAATTAGCAAAAAGTCATTAGCTATAACAAAATAAACTTAAAACTGTCAAATTTAATCAAAACTGTTGGGGACAAGCGCTTCCAGCGCTCCCTGGTGGTCTAGTGGCTAGGATCCGGCGCTTTCACCGCCGTGGCCCGGGTTCGATTCCCGGTCAGGGAAAATTGCTCTAGAAGCGCCTGTTTTGTTTAAAACACGTTATTTTTCCTCCCCGGGGTCCCGCAGGACTTTTCTGGCCACATCCCACAACAAGAGCTCGTCTTTCTTGTCCTTCTCAGTGTGAACGTCCACAAAAAATACTCATTTTCTAACGCTAACAGCAAATTTGAGGGGAGTTCTATTAGAAAAGGAGTGGGAGAAGGTGGAAAGAGAGACCTGGGTCATCCTGTCACCAGTGGGTCACCTCCATCGTCCCATATCCCGTTTCTGTAGTGTAGTGGTTATCACGTTCGCCTCACACGCGAAAGGTCCCCGGTTCGAAACCGGGCAGAAACATCACTTTTATGGCAGTGTTTGGGCCATTCAGTGTGGGGACAGTGACAACGGAGTGTTATTTAGCTCTGGTTTGGCCAGCCGGAGGAGGGACCTTGTCTCTGCCCCTTGCAAAGCAATAGCTGGGGATTCCTACTCCTTTTGGGGCATGTTCATGGTGTGTTTTCCCACTTAAAAAGCAGTTTTAATGAGGAAATTCTCCCTGGCTGTCGAAAGTAGGGCAGTTTGGTCTCCCTTGGTTATGTCCATTGCTTTGACCACCCTCAAGACATCACGAAGGTGGCCCAGATTGGTGTTGGCAAAGGGAGAAGGATAGGTTCTTGTGGTTGGTGGTCTTGGAAGACAAGCGGGGGGGGAAGGAAAAGCAAAAGAAGGAAAAAAGGGGCTAAAGGATGTGGGAAAAATCCCTGGGAATGGGGGAAATTCCATGAAACTTTTGCCCTGAATTCCCACAAATACGAGCCCCCAGAGGGCTCTTGCTAGGTTTCTGTAGTGTAGTGGTTATCACGTTCGCCTAACACGCGAAAGGTCCCTGGTTCGAAACCAGGCAGAAACACTTCTTTTAGGGGGTTTTCTACCCTCTTTTCTACCTCTCTCCACAACGTGCTTCTACAGACGCTGATGTAGTCCTGGAGATATAATTTAATGGCTATTTTGGGGAGGGTTTGAACCTGAGAGCAGTGGATGGGATGGGATGGCTGCTCCATCTCTTCTTTTACATCTCTAATCTTTCACTGTTTGCTTTCCATGTGGATAGAGAGGAATAATTTGCATTTACCCCCTGTTGCCTCAGCATATCTCACCTTTTTCCATCACCAACCGAGCTAGGGATAAAGAAGACCCCTATAGAAGTTCCCCATAGGTCCCTATAGAAGAGCCCACGCTGTTCCTGCCTGAGCTCACTCAAAAGGACACCCCTGCTCCCACTGCCCCTTTATCTCATGTGGAAAGACCAATTGAGGGCACTAATGAGCATGAATTGTCTCACCTCGGACCGCACCGAGCCACCCATGCCCTGGAGCATTTACCCTTTTGCAAGCTGTTTTTGAGGAGCATCTACGCATGAGCATGGCTGATCCACCCCACGGGCTGCATTCCTGGCTGGCCTTCAACCCTGCCTGCCCTTGCCTGGGGTGGGAATTATCCGGTGCTGGGGGTTATCTGCAGAGCACGGAAAGGTTCTTTTGCTGTATGATGATGAGCAGCTCGGTCCTGTCCCTGCATGACATTGGTGCTGTTCCTGGGACTCTGCTATTGCTTTCCCTTAGGTGTTTCTTAGCTTCATGGTTCAGCTCCATTCCTGCATGTTTTACCCAAAGAGCTCATCCTGCTTTGCTCCAAACCAAGCTAACTTTGCTCCCTTCCCCCCCAACACGTTCTGCATCCATGCATCCATCCGTCCCACGAATGCGCTGCGATCAATAAGGCTGCGTGGAGGGGGAGTCTCTGCAGTCATGCATTCCTGCTCCTGCATGGAGTTATTTGTTCTTGGGACATGACCTAGAATAGCAGCCAAACTCTCAGGCTCCACACTCCGTTAACCCTTTGAGCACAGCCCGCTGGTGCAGGAGCTGTGTAGCTGCTGCCAGAGCTCTTTGCTCTTCCTGTTTCTATTCTTCTGTAAGCTAAGAGATCCGTGAGCACTGGTTGGAGAAAGAGCCCTGTGGGATTCCTGAACTGTGCTCAAACACGTGAAAGGTGCCTAAAAACCGGGAAAACCCAGAAAATTCTCATGAACCCCAAGGATCAGGCTGATCCCCTTGTAGCAGCATCCCCATCCACAGCTCCGCGTGTGTTTTATGCAGAGGTGCCCGTACTCTGCTCCTTTACACCCTTCAATCCCACCCAAGAAACGGAGGATTTGGGGTCTTCTGGGGTGTTTTCCACCCAGTTGAATGCGCTGAGATGAACGGCTCCCCCACACCTCGCGTTATACCGGGGGTTAAAACCGAGCCTTGCAGCTCCCTGGTGGTCTAGTGGTTAGGATTCGGCGCTCTCACCGCCGCGGCCCGGGTTCGATTCCCGGTCAGGGAATGAGCTTTTTAGGGTGTTTCTTTTTGTACTTTCGGTTTTAATTCTCTGTGCAATGCGCATAACCCCCACCCCCACACTCCTTTCCCTGCTGCCGGGTGCTGAGTGTGGCCGGGTGGGACTTGGCACAGGCGGAGGAATAACGCAGCCCTGCCAGGATGGAGCTTTTCCTGCAGCCTTTTCCCTCCGGAGATGCTCCCGTTCCAGACCCGCGCTCCACCGCGCTGGGTGCACCCAGGCCGCTGCTCACAGGCTGCACCAGCAGCCGTTATCCCAGCGCCCGGCTAGCTCAGTCGGTAGAGCATGAGACTCTTAATCTCAGGGTCGTGGGTTCGAGCCCCACGTTGGGCGGTTGCTCTTTTCCTTCTGGGTGAAACTTCTAGGGTGGTGTCACGGAGTATGCAGCACCAAACTGGGAGACAGCGTGGGTAATGAGGGCTGAATCCCAACAAACCCAGTGGCATATGGGAGGTGAGGTGGGCTTCCTTTAGCTTTGAAAGGTGGAAAGATGCCCTTTTATCTGCCTTCCTCGTTGTCCTTTCCATCACTTCTTTTACATTCTCCTTCAACCTCTAATGCTGCAGAGTGATTCCAACCTGCTCTCATCTCAGCCCCCCGCATTATGCTGTTTATGGTTGCTTTGTAAAGCAATCTTTGAGCCTTGTAAACCTCTCCAGACTAGAACTGGGTGATAAAGAGGAGCCAAATCCAGCCCCACGTGAGCAGCAGGGTGCAATCTGCTCACAAAGCGCCTGATAAGTCCCAGGAAATCCCCATTCTATGGTTTAGGGCACAACACTTCTAAAAACGTTGATGTAATACCCTGTTTTCTCACGTTTAATGCCATAGATTGAGGCATCCTTTGTGGTTTGGACCAAAGCCTTTTGCTCAACATCCCATGTAAGAGCAAGGTGAACAGTGCTTCAATGAGAACAAGCTGAGCTTTGGCCTGGGCAAGCATTACACCCTGCTTCTCCCCAGGTTATCCAGACCAGGACGTGCATCGAACCCTGTCCTCAGGGAACCTCCTCCTCCTGCTTGGTTCTGGCTGCCTGGAGCTGAGCTTCATGCTTGAGGACATGTAGGTATTAGTGCTGCCAGCACAAGAGCAGCTGCGTTAACACTGGGTTGGGCTGGTGCAGGTGAAGCCAAAGGACTTGGGAGCGAGCAGGCAGGTTCCTTAGGGTCCTGTCCATCAGCCAAGGCCATAACCACAGAGCTTCAGCCTGGGCACCGGGTCCTCTGCACAAGGGGAGGTCAAGGAGCCTTGGCCTGGCGCCTGTGATGGATGAGGCCGTGTCCATGGAGGAGCCGTGTTTGCCCAGGTGCGGGCAGCTCCATTGTTCCCACCAAACAATGGCTTCCGGGGTCGTTCAGGTCCTGGCTCGGCCCTGAGGAGGGATAAAGGCAGCGGGGACCGGAGCCGGGGGGAGCTTGGACCACAGAGGGGAAGCAGAGCCTGGTAAGGGACCTTCTCTTTGGGGTTCGGTTTGTGTCTCCTGGCGCCATCCCAGCACACCCCAAAACCTCCCATTCATTCGAACCCCCCTGTTTCTATACCCATAAATGGTGGGGTTTGCTGCATCAGCATCTGATGGACCCTTTTGGGGAGAAAAATGGTGGAAATGGGGCATTTTAGGAGCCCGGCTAGCTCAGTCGGTAGAGCATGAGACTCTTAATCTCAGGGTCGTGGGTTCGAGCCCCACGTTGGGCGCTTGTTTTTATTTGCCCCCATCTGCCTGGGTCTGGGGGCAAGATACTGGTGCTGTGTCTAAGCAAGAGGTGGGGGCATCTAAGGATGTATCCCTACTCATTTTGCCTCAGAGAGGGCACCACAAACCCCTGTGCCCTGAGGGCCTGCTTGGTTCCCCCCCCCCACAAAGGCTAATCACTGAGGAAACTCATTACAGGGACTAACAAAGCACCCGAGCCACTCTCATCCATAGGTAACGCTGTGCTGGGAGAGCAGGATCCATCCCTTTTCCCAAGATGAAGGTGCTCTTCGTGGGGCTGACGCTCGCTCTGTGCATTGGGGTTGGTAAGTGGAGGGGGGCATCACTGGGTTCTTGTTCTGGGAGGGAAGGGGACACTTGGTCCCTTCCCTGGTGAGCTCCACATCTCCTCCGGGGTGCCCCCATGTCATTGTAGGGGTGTTTGAGGCAACAAACCCTAACCCTAACCCGATTCCATCCCCTCTTCTCTGTCTGCTGCAGTTGAGGCTCTTCAATGCAAGGTCTGCAAGTACAAGATCCCCTTCGTGGGGTGCTTCCGGGGCGCAAATGAAACGACCTGCGAGCGGAGGGAGAAATGTGCCATCATCAAAACCTCCCTGGGTACGACGTGGGCCCAGAGCCACCCCTTCCCTTTGGGCAGGGCCTTTGGGGAGCTCGAATGGCTCGCGGGATGGATGCTGGCATTGACTGGTTCGGGTGGGAAGGGGCCTTAAAGCTTCCACCTTCCACTGGGGCAGCTTGCCCTGGTTTGTGCTAGTGCTGCCCCCCTCTTACATAGCCCCTCTCGCAGGGAAGGTGACCCTTTACTACCAGCAAGGCTGCACCTCTGCCCTGAACTGCGGCCGGGCACGGGCATCCGATGCGGAATCCCGCCTGACATCCCGGTATTCCTGCTGCGAGACCGACCTGTGCAACGAGGAGTGGGATGAGGAGCCCACAGACTAGCCCGGGGCAGCGCGGTGCGGCCGGTCCAATGTGAGCTCCCCAGCTGATCCCGAAGGATTCCCACCCCGCATCCGGACGGTGGGATCCTCAATGTGTGTCTGGCCTTGGCTTTTCCAGCTCAAGCAATAAACCCGCAGGTTATAACCAGCAGCTGGGCCTGGCTCCTGGGTGCTTCCCTTCTCCTATTCCCAGCTCTCCAGACTCAGCATTCCTGCGGGTCTGGAAGCAGCTCGTGGCCCCTGAACATAATCCTGCAGCTCAGACCCCAAGGGCAAGCCAAGGTGCTTCCTCCCACTTTGCTTCCCATTCGTTTTCCTGCAGTGCAGGGCTGGGGTTTTCGTTGCTGGGGACTTTGCATAAGGGAAGCCAAGAGGAGTAGGGGATGTGTGTATTTAATAGGTGTTTATTTCACCTGTGCAAGGAAACACGTTTAAGGTTGTGTTTTCCTTGTATTCCCCCCCTCTTCCCTGCTGTTTTGGGTGTCCCAAGCTCTCCTTACCCAAAGCCACCCGTGCTCAGTGGGATTTGCCCTGCAGGAGATGTTTCTGCCCTTCTTTGCCCCTGATATGAGCTGGGATCTGAACCACTCATTGAGGGCTTCGGAGAAGAGAGGAAAAGCTTCGCTCCTGGAGCCCTGCGGAATGGGAGCCGGGGCATTGGAACGGGTCTGGGCTTGGGGACAGGTGGAGGGAGGTGCTGGAAACGTTATCCATGCTCCGGGCAGGGAAAAGCGCCTGGCACAGGGGAGGAGGAGGAGGAGGAGGGAAGGAGGCCGGAGGGTGCCAAGGATGGATGCAATGGGGGAGGGCAAGGCCTGGTAAGTGAGATGGGACCGGGGGGGGGGGGGGAATGTGACACAGGGGACAAGTGCGGCCACCGCAGGCTGGGGAGGAGCAGGAGCTGCAGCAGCACCGAGATGTCGGAAGCATCCCGGGCTCCATGGGCTGCATCCCGCTGGGAGCCCTCAGCCTCCCGGCTCGGGGCCCCCACCAGCACCTTCTCCATGCAGAGGGTGGGACGGTTCGGGAGGATGCCCCTGTCCTATGCCTCTGCTCCCAGGTACGTGGGGTCAGCAATGGGGGGCTATGGGATGCACTTGCCCGAGTGTCCCAGGGCTCTCTGTCCTCTTTATCCTATCCCCACTTTGCTCCCCTGCTTTTCCCATTGCCCCTTCCTCCCGTGGAGGGGCCTCGTTCTCTTTCCCTGCTGTTTCAGCATCCCTGGGTAGAGTTTGGGTTTCTCTCCAGCTCGTAGGCCACCACCTCGTCCTTTTGCACCGAGTTGTTTCTCTGGTGCAAAATGCATGGATGACCTGGGGAGAATGCATAGTTTGTGTTTGCTTACAGATGAGGAGAAATGGAAGGTGGGAGAGAGCAATTCCCCTTCTATAGGGAGAGATGTGTGTATGTATAAACATGTATTGATACATCTGAGAAGGGCGGTGGGCTTTCCACAGTGGTGGAAATGGTGGGCTGCAGAGAAATGGGATTTGGGAAGCCCCATCCCCCCCCGCTCCATCTTGATATATGGACTTTGCATCCTTGTGTATTCCCTTTCTCCTGTTGCTTTTTATGGCCCCTGTTGAGCCCTGGGGCTCAACCAAAGCATCCTGGCTGAAGCATCGAGGGCAAAGTGGGTCTCTAATGGGAGCTCAGATGGTCACCTGGACCAAAGCCTGGAGCAGCTGCTAAACAGGGCTCCGAGCTTGCATTTAGCACCGGGTCAGCCAAAAAAGCAGCAGGAGCCAGACCTGGTGGCTGCATCCCAAAAGGACACCCAAACGGGCCAGAAAGGACAGGGGGAGCCCGGGATTTGCGAGGGAGCAGAGGGCAGGATGCGTCCCTGCTTGTGATCCCCTCCAACTCTGCGCTGTCCCCAGTGGCGGGGTCTTTAGCACTGGTTTAAAGAAACCAGATACAGCACAAGTGACCTCGGAGGCTCGTTCCTGGGAGAGGAACGCCCACAGGGGGCTGGGTGCCAGGCATTCATGCTCCCGGTGCTGCCCTGCCGCAACCAGTCCTTGCCTGCAGGAAGGAGGCCATGGCCGCGGTGTTCCTGCCCGGCAACCTCCAGGATGAAGCCACTTGCTCCGTGTGCCTCGAGTTCTTCAAGGACCCGGTGTCCATCGAGTGCGGGCACAACTTCTGCCGCGCCTGCATCATCAAGAGCTGGAGGGAGCTGGAGATGGACTTCCCCTGCCCGCAGTGCAGGGAGGTTTTCCAGCACAGGAGCTTCCGCCCCAACCGGCAGCTGGCGAACATGTCCGAGATCATCAGCCAGTTCACGCTGCGCGGGGCCAAGGGCGCCGAGGAGGACGGGCTCTGCGGGAAGCACCGGGAAGCGCTGAAGCTCTACTGCAAGGACGACCGGAGAACCATCTGCGTGGTGTGCGACCGCTCCCGCGAGCACCGCCCGCACGCCGTCGTGCCCGTCGATGAGGCGTCCGAGGAGTACAAGGTGCGTGGCTGCTGCCCCCGCTGCCTCCCCCGCTCCGTTGCGCGATGCTCAACGGCTCCGTGAATCCTGGCTTTCCAAAGCCCTGGGAAAGCCTCCCTCCTCCCTGCAGCTTGGGGGTCAGGCAGGAGGCTGGGAGAGGGTTCCCTTCGTGCGAGCTCCTGCGCAGCGGCGCTGGGCTGGGGCCAAGGCGCAAACACAACCTGCGGGCACCCTCCTTATCAGCAGGGCAGCGCCTGACGCCGCGAGCACCCACGTCTATTCTGGGGCTGGGCGAGCATCCAGAGATGAATCCGAGTCGGTTAAAACGGGGCTGAGGTTTGCTTGTGCCAGGAGCGAAGGCGGGGGAGGCAGCAGGGGGTGCGAGCAGCGCCTGTATCCTGCGCTGGCATCCCCCGGTCTCCTTTCTGTGTCTGCTGCACGTGTGGGAGCTTGTGCTGGGGTTCAGGGTTCAAATGTGGGTGTCTGGGCTGAGGCAGGGCCTGCACCCCCTGTTTCCAGTGCAGTCCCGCTTGTCCTTGAGCACAGCAGGGTGGATAACGCAGCGAAGGACAGGAAGGGACCCCAGAAACAGCCTCTTCTTTCTGTGTTCCCAGGAGAAGATCCAGGGCCGCTTGGATTTCCTGAAGAAGGAGAGGCAGGAGCTGCTGGAGTTCAAAGTGAACGATGACAAGAAAACCCAGGAGCTCCTGGTGGGTGCCCACAGCCGGCGGTGGGGAGGGAGGTCGAGGCTGGAAGGGTTCGAAGCAGCATCCTCCTGTGGTGTCACAGGGGCACAAAGGGCAGGGTGTGAGGGTCTGGTTTTGAGGGCCTGGGGGGGGGGATCTGAAGAGTGAAGCAACCAAACCCATTCAGTCTTGTCCATGCTGCCAAAGGGAGCAGAATGTGCCCATTTCCCCCAGGCTTGGTCTCGGAGGAGGTTGTTGATCTCTTTGTGATGACAGCACAAGGAGGAGCTGGGTGTGAGCAGAGATAAGGAACAGGTCACAGCCAGGGAAGAGCGGGGGTTTACATGAGAATAGAGATGCCTCCAGGGGACGACTCCAAGTGGGTTCCTCTACACTGCCCCTTCTCCCAGTTTGGGTGGTGGGACCAGCAGGCGATGACAGGGGCTAAGGAAACCTCTTGGTCACTGATCCCCAACTCTGCTTTAAGCGTGGATTAACTCCCCACCAAGATAAAGAGAGACAAAGGCAGGTAAAGGAAGCCTGTGCCTAGTGTAGGAGAGAAAACCCACCTAAGATCTGCTGCCCCAGACATGGGTTGGTGCCCTTTCCCTGCAGCTGCGATGGCTGTTTGTGGCCTTTGCTCTCCATCCCCATCACGCAGCCACCCCATGCAATGATGCCGGTGGGTCTCCCATCCCCATCCCCATCCAAGTCACTGCACCAGCCCCTTGCCCCCTTCATCTCGCTGCGTTTGCTGCCCAGGAAACCATCGCGAGCGAGCGGCAGAAGCTGCTCTCGGAGTTCGAGTGCCTGCGGCAGTTCCTGCACGACCAGGAGCACCTCCTGCTGGGGCAGCTGGAGAAGATGGAGAAGAGCATCGCCAAGAGGCAGAATGAGAACATCACCGACCTCTCCAAGGAGATCACGCTCCTCAACAAGCTCATCACGGAGCTGGAGGAGAAGATCCAGCAGCCCACGCTCGAGTTCCTCAAGGTGAGGCGCTGGCTCTGATGTGAGCCTCCAGGGCTGAGGAAAGGCCTTTCTCCATCCCTTTGAACGTGGTTCTGGGTCCTGTTAGAGGTGTTCTGGGGATACATGTGCTTATGCCCCCCCATCTTCAATGGGCACTGTCTGAGATGCACCATGAGCACACAGCAGCTCTGGCTCAGGGGCATCCTGGATGTGCTCTTCATATCCAACAGCCTCTAATCCAATTTTCTTCCATGACTTTGGACCTTTGGAGCACCTATAAATTCCCATTTCAAGGTGTTGAAAGCTGAATTAGACCCCCACAAATAGATCCTTACAGCAAGCATCTCCTTTGTGAGCTGGCCACAGGCCTTGCAAGCTCATCAATGTCCACTCCTCCAGGCTTGGAATGGAGCTGGAATCCAGAGCCCATGGAGCTGGGCTCAGCAGGACAAGGCTCCTCGCCAGGTTTTGCAGTCCTGGCTGCAGAGGCTTGGCCAGGCCCTGAAAGCAGAGCTGGGTTTCAAGTCCAGATGAGCCATTAACCAAGCTGGAAAGTATGAGGGAGGGAGCAGATGGGCTCCAGGTATTGATTGCACTGCAAAGAAAGAAGCTGGAGCCCATCCAGCCCCTCCTTGTTACCCAAACTCCCCTTTGCAGCTGAAGTGGGGCTTGGAAAGCAAACCTGAGCTGCCCATCCCAGGAGCAGGTAGTCCTGTCCCCCGTCCCATGGTAAGAGGCCGATGGGGACCTTTTAAGTGGCCATGTGTTGATTGTTCTGGTGCCCACATTGATCCCTATGGGGTTAAACGCCCTCCTCTGTCAACATTTGCAGGTGGTTTCAGGACCTGGCCATGGGTGAGCACTGGTTCCACGTGGCCTTTGCTCGGCTGCTGCTGTTGTTCACAGCCCTCACCTGGAGCAGTGCGGGAGCTTCGGCTTTTAAAGCCCATGCTGGAAACCTCATTCAGCTCCAGGGCCCTTTTCCCCTCCCTGGGCTTGGCTTTGAGTCATGTCCAATGTTCTCACTATGGTTTATGGGTTTTGCACCTCCCAGCCTAGGCCACACCACGATGCAACGGGCACAGAGCTGGACTGTTTGTATGTAGCGCTATTTGGAAAGCTTGGTTCCCCCCCCAAAGTGAGATGTGGGGGGGCCGTGGCTTTCCAAAGCTGGAAGCAAAGATCTGAGGCATGGATCCATGCTTGTTGTTGCAGCCCTGAGGGATGAATGTCTCAGCTGGGTTTAGTGGGGGGATGTAGCATCTATTGCACGAGGATTTCACCGGCTCTCTCTGCTTCCTTTCTAGGATGTAATGAGCATCATAAGCAGGTACGGAGCTCTCTTCTCCCCCCTTTCATGTTTTCCCCCTCCCAACACTGTTTGGGGTCAGTGCTTGCAGTCCAGGTGCCAGAGGGAGGCAGTCAGCTGCAGATGGGAACGCAACAGGGGAATAGGAATGATCTCCTTACTGCTTTGCCTTCTCCCTTTGCAGGAGTGACGATGTGAAGTGCCAGAAGCCTGTGCCCGTGTGCACGGACATGAAGATGCACATCTGCAACTTCTCCCTCAAGACCGTGGTCCTTGAGAAGGTCCTGAAGAAGTTCAGAGGTACATGGAGGGGAGCGCGGGTGTTTGAAACAGGCCTTTTCCAGGCGTTGGGATAAGGGATGAGGAGCACTGAGGATGCTGTGGGTGGCGCGAGGTCCCTGGCCATAGCACTGGAATAGGAGGGTAGATCAGGCTGCACCGGGGGTGTGCATGAGCAGGAGATGTGCTGCCAGCCCAGGAGCTTGTTAAAGAGGGAAACCCGATCCCGATCCATCATTTTCAGTGCAGCAACCTCCGGGTTTCACACCTTGGAGGCCGGGATTCCCAAGGCAACCCCTTGCAGTAGCGCGGCAAGGCCACAAGATGGTCCTGATGGATTTGGGGAGGCACCAGGGCAGGGTAAACGAGGTTTAACCAAACCCTGCCTCCTCCCCGTGCCCGCAGTCTTCGGTTATTTAAAGCTTACCCAAATTGCCCTTTATTTAGCAGGAATTTCCCCATTACGGGAGCTGGTGTTGCCCCATCCTCAGCTCTCGCTACCTGCCACGTCCCCTGCTAGCGCTTTGCTGCGTGTAAAGGGTCCCCGAGCAGGGGGGTTTGTGCTCTCTCGGTGTCACCATTGCCTCGCTTTGTCTTTTCCTTGCAGACAACCTGCGAGATGAGCTGGGACGAGGGGAAAAAGGTAAAGGGAAAAGCTTTCAACCGCAGCGCCCCGGAGCAAAGGCATTAAATTGGGGTTGTGTTTAGCAAAGACGTTAAATTGGGGTTGTGTTTAGCAAAGGCATTAAATTGGGGTTGTGTTTAGCAAAGACACTAAATTGGGGTTGTGTTTAGCAAAGACACTAAATTGGGGTTGTGTTTAGCAAAGACACTAAATTGGGGTTGTGTTTAGCGAAGCCAAAGAGAAGAGTGAGGGAAGAAGGATAAAAGCAGAGGACAAGAGGTTTCCTCTTTTGGGTTCATTTCTTCTCTCTCCACGATGCTCAAAGGCAGTTGTGGGTCTCCTGAACCAGCTCTTGGTCCTCATTTAGCACGATTCACTTTGCTGTGTTGCCCTTTACCGGATGGTGAGGATGTGAAAAGGGTGATGTGGATGCTCATCCCATCCCTTTACCTGCAACCTTCCTCACCCACCTCTAGGGAGAAGGAGCGCGTTTGTTAGCACCTAAAACAACTCCTCTTATAGCACCCCAAAGCCTGAGGCTTCCTGCAGAGTCAATGGCGAGAGGAGGCCTCTCGAGCACCTCCGAGCCAAGCCAACGTTGAAACTTGGCTTTCCTTCCCCACAGGCTGCCCGGGGAGCTGAAGAGGAGCAGTTGTTGAGGTTGGGATGTGGTGCTTGAGGTTGGGAAGTGCTTCAGCCCCCCCCAGCTCAGGCTTTCCCCTGTCCCCGTTCTCCCTGAGTTACCCCTGTCCCTGCTGTCACCAACAGAGGACCTGACCCTGGACCCCGACTCCGCAAACCACCTCCTCATCCTCTCAGCCGACCTCAAGAGCGTGCGGATGGGCTGCAGGAAGCAGGAGCTGCCCGACAACCCCAAGAGGTTCGACACGAACTCGCGGGTGCTGGCCACCACGGGCTTCCAGTCGGGACGCCACTACTGGGAGGTGGAGGTGGGCGCCTCGGACGGGTGGGCTTTCGGGGTGGCCAAGGAGTCGGTCAGGAGGAAGGGGCTGACGCAGTTCTCCCCCGAGGAAGGGATCTGGGCAGTGCAGCAGAACGGGGGCCGCTACTGGGCCGTCACATCGCCGCAGCGCACGCCGCTGTGCCTCAGCCAGAAGCTCACCAAGGTCAGGGTCTACCTGGATTACGAAGGGGAAGAGGTTTCCTTCTACAACGCCGAGAACATGCAGCACATCTTCACCTTCAACGTGGCCTTCCAGGAGAAGGTGTTCCCGCTCTTCTCCGTCTGCTCC